GGTCCCCTCCAATGACCTGGTATCCATTTTTTTCTTAACAGGTTACAATATTAAAATTGATTCAGTTGTTCATACATCATCATCTCTTAGTCATTAAGTCATGTCCAACCCTTTTCAATCCCATGGACTGTAGCCCACCAGGCTTCTCTGTCCGTGGGATTTCCCAGGCAAGAATACTGGATTGCCAACCCAAGAAAATGGGTTGCCATTTTCTTCTCCAGGGGATCTTCCCCACCCAGGGATTGAACCTGGGTCTCCTGCATTACACGCAGATTGTTTATCATCTGAGCCATCAGGGAAGTCCTCATACCTCATGCTTTCTGGCTAAGGGGAAAACATCCTTTTGGCCCAGGAACGCTCTTCCTGGAAATGACCTGATATATACCAGTTTTTATATAACCCAACTCATGTAATTCCTGCTTTGGTTTTAGACATTAGCTTAAAGCAGGATTTGATTTAGTAAACAGCAGTTAATCAACTTTTGTGGTTATTATCAAGGCATTGCATCTGCATGTGAAAACCATCAAGTAAAAGGAAGATTGATGGAATATGAGCTGGTGCTGTACTTCCTGCTTGCTGATGTTCTTTTATTCTCCTTTTAGAGCTAGAATATTAAAATTTGACTTATAGATAAGTATTGCTAAGTAAATATTCAAGCTAATAAAGAATTATTAAACACACTTAGTGAGGAATCAATTTTCAAAGTGATTGAGTCAAAAGAAGCCACGTATGGTAAGGTCTTGAGCATAAATAAAAAGCCCTGAATATAACTCTTGACGCTGTCACTCTTCATGATATTCTTTACGAGAGAGTTACCTGTGCTCCTGCCTTCCTCCCTATTTCTTCCTCTGGGAGTCATATCATCTTCCTAGGAATAAAGGTCATTCTAGCAGTAATATCATGCTTTCATTGTTGTTGCTGCTGCTGCTAAGTTGCTTCAGTCGTGTCTGACTCTGTGTGACCCCATAGATGTCAGCCCACCGTGCTCCCCCGTCCCTGGGATTCTCCAGGCAAGAACACTGGAGTGGGTTGCCATTTCCTTCTCCAATGCATGAAAGTGAAAAGTGAAAGTGAAGTCGCTCAGTCGTGTCCGACTCCCCGCGACCCCATGGACCGCAGCCCACCAGGCTCCTCCATCCCTGGGATTCTCCAGGCAAGAGTACTGGAGTGGGGTGCCACTGCCTTCTCCGATTATAGCAAGCAGTAGCCATAAAACTCTCTTCCGGACATTAACTGTGAGAGAACGCTTCTGAGAAACCTCTAGGGTTGTTTTCTTTTCCGACAGAAGAGGCAGACCTACAAGGGAGACCTCTCTCGCCCCCACCCCTTCCTGTTTTTGACTCTGGCCTGGCGGCCATCTTGGATCCACGAGGCATTTCGCAGACAAGCCAAGGCTGATAGCGCAGAAAGCCGGAAGTGCTCCTTCACCGCCTTACCCAGCCACCGGACAGCCTCGGCAACAGCCTGTTCTGAACACCTCCTGAACGGGCAGAAACGAATGTCTGTACTGTAAGCTGTTTCCAGTAGTCGACTCTGTAGCTTGTAGCAAAGTAAATCCCATATAAATACAAGTAATCCCTTGGATTAGGGTTGAAAGGATAAAAAGTCAATCCAGGCTACTACTAAAGCAGAGACGGGAGTTATCTCTACCCAGAAGGAGCAAGCCAGGCTTGCAGGATGACAGGCGCTGTGGAGGAATGCTCGGACTCAAGGCGCGCCGGGGGCTGGCTGAGCTCACGGGTTCGGAGCCAGACTGACAAACGTGGCCTAGCAGCCACAGGAGGTTAAAACTAAAGAATGGGAGGCACGGGCCCACGCAGGGGCCAGAGCCAGGACAGGACCTGGAACGGAGGAGCTGGCCTCGGGAAACAGGTTTGTGTAGCAGAGGCTAAGGCAAGTCCAGGGCCAGCAGCTGAGTTTTTCCCAAGGAGAAGTGAGTGCAGCCAGTAAAGCTGGTGTACCATAACGTCTTTTCAGGAAGTCCCACGCAAGCCCTGCTTTTAAAAGGTGTCATATGAGGAGAAGAGCGTCTCTGAAGACTTACAGAGTTGGGTCAGAATTCCGGCCTCTGTCTGTGCGTAAACTCCACAGTACTCACCATGTTTGACAGGAACTATGAGTGTATCTTCCTCATGAGAAGGAAGTTAGTTCCTCTGAGGATAGAAATCATGCTTTATTCATTATTGTGCCCTCACTGCCTAGCACAGTACTTAGTTAGCAATGATTGATTCAGTTTGTTTGAGGGATAAATAACAGAAATAACCGTTTTATTCACCATGCACAATGTGCCAAAGTGAAAGCAAAGTTGCTCAGTCTTGTCTGACTCTTTGCAACCCCATGCACTGTAGCCAACCAGGCTCTTCCGTCCATGGGATTTTCTAGGCAAGAGTACTGGAGTGGGTTGCCATTTCCTTCTTCACCGGATCTTCCTGACCCAGGGATTGAACCCGGGTCTCCTGCATTGGAGGCAGACGCTTTAACCTCTGAGCCACAAGGGAAGGCATACAATGTGCCAGACATTGTGTAAAATGCTAATACTCAGTAGTTCGTTTATTTCATGGGAAATAGTTACTACCATTATCCCACTTAACTGATGAGGAAACTGGGGTTTACGAAAGTTAAGTAAATTTCCCTAGCATACTCACCTCGGAGTTTCAGACTCTGCATCAGAAACCAGGCCATCTCCCTCCAGAGAATAATACTCTTACCCATTAATGGAGGGAAAGAGAGCACAAAAATCATTTAAGACACTCGCAGAGAATTAGGACGTTTGTTTCTTCTTTCTCTCAGAAAGGAAATTGGGGCTTTGTTTCTTAGAAACACTTGGTTCTTTTCTTACTCTTGGGAATAATTGATAGAGCTGCTTTTAAGAGCCCAGACATAAAATAAAGGCATACAAGACGGCAAACCCAAACGTGCAAACACATTTCAAGCCTCTGCGTGTGCTACATCTATTACCATTCCACTGTCCAATAAGAGTCACGTGTCCAAGAGTACAGTCAAAGGCTGCAGAAGTGCAGTCCTGTCTTCAGGTGGCCATGGCAAAACTATGTCAGTGTATCACAGGGAAAAGGGAGAAAAAACAGCCAATAATGTAATCGACCACAAAACCTTAGTTTTCTCATAGATAAAATAAGCTTACTACACCTACCAGCTGTGGTATATAGACTAACAGCCACTCCTAAGGGGCCATGCCCTAATCCCCACAACCTGTGAATACGTTACCTTAAATGGCAAAAGAGATTTTGCAGAATTGGTTGTGTTAAGGATCTTAAGGTGGAAGGATTGACCTGGTTTATACAGGAAGGTTCAGTGTAATCATAAATGTCTTTATAAAAGAAAAAAGGAGGCAGAAGAACTAGAAGAAGAGATTAACAGTGGAAGCTGAGGTCACAGTGATGCAACACCATGGCCAAAAAAGGCACAGCCTCCAGAAGCTGTAAAAGGCAGGAACAGAAAGATCATAGTCCAGTTAAAACCTTCACTTTATCCCCATGAGACATTTCAGACCTCTGATCTATAGAATTGTAAAGTAATAAATTTGTGTTATTTTAAGCCACTAAGTCTGTGGCATGTTGTCTCAACAGCAGTAAGAAACTAATACATGAAGTGAGTCATCCTGAGTCACTGTCCAGGAAAGTCCTGAATATTCATACTGCAGGCTTCATTTTTCACATACCCAGCATGATTAATCTGGATGCCAAAGGCCTTGCTTTCATTTCAGGGGGGAATCGTGAGTCCTGTGTCATTGAGAAGAGGAGTGTTTCCTTGGGACAGTTTGGAAGGAGTTCCGCAGAATCTCAGGCCGTGAGAGGGCATCACTTCCATAGGATGCTCTGCAAGCCGTATGCTGGCAGCTGTCCACGGGAGGTGCTCAGGAAACAGCCGTGAGGTGGCATGTGAAGCCGGCTCTGCAGCAAGGCCAGCGAGCAGTCAAGGAGAGCTGCTCTGCCAGCCCTGGAGGCTTCTAGAGCCCCCGCAGGCACGCTTGTCCACAGCTTCTCCATGCCGACCCAGTTCCAATCCATGAAGCCCAGAACCCCAACCTCTAGACCCACCGACCTCCTCTGAGGCCAAAGCCCATCACCTCTCTTCCCTTCCTAAGATGACCTTCACTCAGTCTCCACTGGTCTGGGACTAACTTCTCCTCATTCTCTTTCCACTGACCTGTTAGAGCATAATTCCCCAGCGCCTCCTCGTCTAACACAGACTATCTCTTGCAAATCAATACTTTAGTTTTCACTACTCTTTCCAACTGTGGACTAGCCAAGCTTTCAGAGTTTTCATATAATAAAGATCTTTAATTTTATAGCATTACTTACATAAAAGATACATAATGGGGGAACTTAATTCTTTCATGGCCTAATTTTGTTGTTTATAGATCAGTAAAATAAGGAATTCTTCTCTAATTTGGTCTATTAACTGTGGGGGAGATTACATGAACAAAATATAAATATTGGGTTGGCCAAAAAGTTCATTTGGGTTTTTGCATAGCATCTTATGGGAAAAAAATTTAACGAAATTTTAGGTCAACCTAATACATCTACTTCTTTCTTTCTAATGAAAGGTTCTAAGACATAAATAAGTTGTCAGCAGTTAGGTGAGATAATGAATTATTAGAAAAATAAAACTAAGCAAAGGGGTCCAAATTCTTAGTTGAATGGATTTGTGTATGTAAATAAAATGTCCTTAACCAAAAAAATTTGTATATTTTATTCTGTGTATCATTTTGAAAATTCATTCCAAGCAATAACAATTTTTTGAGGGATTCATATAATTGTATAGTATGTTCATCTATAGACTATTAAATGTTCATATTGCTTTTATACAAAATCCAAAACACTGGTTTTATGAGAAAATATCAGAAACTCTGCAAACATGAATATGCCACTCAGAGGATGTTTGTCTAATCCTACTGTTATACTGCTTTTATAAAGTTTGGAAACACCAGGTGTTAATTCTCTAATTATATGGTAACCATGGGCTGCCAGTAAGAGTTCATCAAACCATCTCAAGTCATCTTGTGGAACCTGCTGGTTTGCTCAGGGTGTTGTTCTAAAGTCAGAATTGAAATAGCTTCATGGGATCTTCAAACAATTAATCTTCAAAGAATTAAAACCAAGCTCCTAAAAATTTAAATCCATGATGATACAAGGATTCTGATAAATAGGAAAATGAAATATTCCAATTTAGATAGTTATTGCACTAAGGAGACAAGATTTTAATAAGATTCACAGGACTTGGATAAGTGAGTGCTAAAGGGCAGAGTAACTATTCCTGGCTGTTGGGGACTTATAAGGTGAAAATAAGTATCTTTAATTATATAGATTACCCTTCCGTTTTTATATCTAGATCAGAATGAAATTAGAGAGAAAGCAAGAGTAACTGAAGAAAAGAATGTAATATAATGACAGTCTAACAAGAAAAAAGACTAAAGCTAAGAAAAACATAAGCATTGGCCAGTGAAGAATGGGGGCATGGCTATAATAGGCCAATAAGCAAACAGAGGGGGTGAATCCTCTGTAGATGGGAAACGGTGTCAGTGTTTTATCTGAATTCTTCCAGGTATCACTTTACACAACCATTCATAATACACTGTTCAATCTTCCATGGAGGCAGAAATTAGGTTTCATTCCTCAGCTTATCTAGCAGAGTCCCTGCTCCATATTAGATATGCAGTAAACAGCTATTAAATAAAGGATTGAATGAATATTAAAGATAACTCATATCAACTAGAGATAACTCACATCAATTAGAGAATTGATGGGAGCAAGCTACTAATACTTCACCATGCAAACTCTATTCCTATCCAATATAAGAAATCTCCAAACACAAAGAGAAGGAAATAACCACTAAGAGTATGTCACTAAATTCATTAACTCAAAGAAAGAATATTTATTGAGGTCCTAATTAGTATCATGGTATAAATAATGTTATAAAGAGTACCAAAGGGATGGCACGTGGGAAGTGGTCACGTACTCTACAGTTTACAATTCTTTAATTGTACACAATAATATATCAGTAGCTGGTGACTCAGCGGTAGAGAACCCACTGGAGACACTGATTCGATCCTTGGATTGGGAAGATCCCATGGAGAAGGAAATGGCAACCCACTCCAGTATTCTTGCCTCGGAAATCCCATGAACAAGGGAACCCAGCAGGCTAGAGTCCATGGGGTTGCAAAAGAATCAGACATGACTTAGTGACTAAATGACAACAATACCAACTTATATTTTGGTGCTTTTTTTCCTGCTTATTTGATGAGGTCACCTAATTTCTTAATGTAGCTTCCTGCATCACCTGAAATTGTATCAAAAATCCTAAAATTTTTTGCCTACTGATAGCTAAGAAGGCAATATTTCCATTAGTAGATGCTTGTTTTGATAAACTATTGCATAAGAATTTCTCCAGATAAATATGATTTTAAATCCCACAATTTAATGTTTCATATACAGAAATGAAGCTCAAACTGTACTTAGTTGATTTATAATGATACTACCTTATAGAGTTGCTATGAAGAACAAATATGCCAATGCACATAAACAATGAGAACAGTGTCTGGCATTCAGGAAGTACTTAATCAACCTTTACCATTATCATTGTTTTTCTAGAATGGTCCAAATAAGCCATTGGGACTTAACAGTCATCAAGAGTGTTCCTTCCTTTTTTCTGGAGTATTATTTTATTATCAAAGCTAGATTCAGTGAACCGGAGATGGATAAGAAGTATGTCCAGAAACTGCTGCCAATACAGATAAATAGCTGTATGCTAAGGTCAGTGAGCAAAGCTGAGCAGCTGTTTCCTTGAGTGAACCAAGCCATTCCCCTGCTGTCCCAACTTCTCCAATCTCATGACAATTCAATCAAATGATGATATAGAATTACAATTTAAAACTGAATAGAAGCTATTTAGCTGCAGAAAAACCTCCCCCTCGGTGAAGATTGAAAGTTCAATGGATGATAAATTTAAAAATCTTCTAACCAATTGTTGAAATTTCAAAAGACCAGATGATATCATAACATGATATTCTTGTATACCTTCATATTTGTTATTACAACATTTCAAGAGGCAAAGTGAGGAATTTTTATATAGAATGTTATACTTTTAAAAATGAACAAATCTGAAACAGTGAAATGCAGTATTCTAGTTTTGGGTCAAATAACTGATTTCTCTGATATCCAGCTATTTAAAAAACAGACACCATCATAATAAAAATATCCTCCTTATTTCACAAAATTTTGAGTATAATTAAGCAAAATAATGTTTGTAAAATCCTTTGCATAATTGTTCTGCAAGTGAATTATTATTTTTATTTTATTTGTCTTGAAATATTAGAATGCTTATAAATACAAGCTCACAAGCTAGAGATATGCATATACATACACAGACGGAGGTTATATGTCTAATTTGAGTTCTTTGAAAAGTGCCACCAAATTATAGTGTGTGCTGTAATTACTTTATTTTTTTGCATCTATTTTTCTCTAATACAGAAATGTGAAATTTGTAGAAAGAGAGGGAACTAAAATTATGGAAATTATTTAGGCAATTCTAACAGAGTATGCTTACAAAGTTTGAAGATAAGATCAAGAAAAGGTTACTGTCTGAAATGTCATTTTATAAGAATAAATTAGAAAACGTTAATGACCTTAATTATCTGCATCATTGACCACTGTAAGCCTTTGGAAATGATGCTGCTGCTGAGAGAAAAGTGTATCTCATATTTAATTATGTGAACTGGGTGGAGAGCTTGAGCAATACAGTTGTGTAATTTGTCTTGCATGAGATAACAATGAATAATTTTTTAAACAAAAAATAAATTTTCTAAAATTTTCAAATAATGAGGAAAAGTATTATCTAGATAGAAATATCCTTACAGCAGAATTTCTTAAAGAGAACTAAAAAGGAACACCTATACTGCTAAGATTTCTAGACCTGTTTCTAAACCAACTGGAGATGGATAAATTAGGATACCAATAGGAAACCTGTCTATAAGAATGAATACCTTTATTTATCTCTGACTCAGTAAAGACCCTCCTGATGATCTAACCTGATCAGAATAAAAAATCATAGATCAATACATATCTTCTTATTTCCTTATTAAACATTGAAGTCATAAAGAACACTATGAAATATTTTTCATTAAAATTTCCTTTTACATTTTGGTCAATAATTCTTGAACTCTACTATATGCAAAGTGAAGTGAAAGTAGCTCAGTCTTGTCTGACTCTTTGCGATCCCGTGGACGTAGCCCACCAGGCTCCTCTGTCTGTGGAATTCTCCAGACAAGAATACTGGAGTGGGTTGCCATTCCCTTCTTCAGGTTACCATATGTAAGAACAACCTAAACAGCTTCTGATACATGCCTATTTCCAGGTCATGACTATATTCTAGGCTTTCAGATTTCCAAGTCGGCCTCTCTTAAGCATTACATCCTGTGATCTCTGGGAGAGATGAAAAAGTCGGGCATCTAAAAGTCATAATTTAGACCAGCACCAGGCCCTTGAGTGATTCACCAACAAACCACAACCTACAAGGGCCAATGGATAATCCAGGTGACCTTTTCTCTCTGGGTCCATCACCACCCTTAAAAACCTTGATTCATACTGCACACCTTCAATAACCCAGAATTCTATAGGGAAATTATTTGACAAATGAAATAAAAACTTGTTCTAATATCCTTTTTATAGACAACTTCCTATTAATTAATAAGTGCTACTCAGAAGTATAAATGTTTAGAGCAAAAATGATTTCAAGGCTATTCTCTGCAGTTGAAAATTTTGCAAGTCACTTACCAGTGTTTTATGAGACAGTGATAACATAATGGAAAGCTAATAGAGAGAAAGCAAAGTGACTTGCTTTTTCAAAGATGTTATTTATAGTTAGGGTTTCCTCTCAAGTTTCAGGTTGAGTGCTTCAAGATTTTATAACTTAATGTCTTAAAGGAAGAGTAGAAAGAACAACCTGATCGTTTCTTCCAGCACAGTTCCTTTCTTCAAAATTGGCTGTGCATTGGAAACTTAACCAAATATCCAAGATAGGACTCCTGACTCGTAGGTTTTCCTCCCTGGGAGAAACTGCTACATTACAGTCCCATCTAGTTAAGCTTGCTGCTTACTTCCAAAGGGATTTGGAAAATATACAGAGATCCCGGGAAGAGGCCCTTCTGGCCCCTCTACCGACCTATGAGGGTAATTGAATGGTAACTTCTGCTTTTACCTTCTGGGGCTTCTCTGATACTGCACGTGGGATGCCTGTGGACAGGACCAACTCAGTCATCCTAAGACATATGCCGGAGACATTTGTCATCCCTTATTGATGCACACGGCTCTTAGCAGGCGTCAGTATCCAAGTCAGCTCTCAGCATAACACTGTGTGGATGTCTGCGCTGTTCACACAGACGTGATGGGGACGGAGCCCGTGAAATCGTGCAGCCAGCAGCTCTGATATAAGGTAGGAGCTCCTTTAACATTCTCTCTTGGAGACATGGGCGAATATCCCCACAGTGATAGTGGCGGTGATAATTATGATGATGAAACTAGTGATAATGGCCACAACTTGTGAATATAATGTGCTGATTTCTTTACAATTATTTAAAAAAAAAAAAAAAAAGAACAACCTGGAAAAAAAAAAAACTGATTAAATATCAAACTTTGAGAGACCTCTGTTAGTAACCATTATTGTCTTCTTAAAGCATGGAGTGAATAGAATGAGGTTACATTATTAGAAAATGACAGTTTTTTTGGATTTTTATCTAAAAAAAATGAACACAATTTTATGTTAGGGTCCATTATTTGTTTCCATACCTTACTCAAGACTCCACATTGTAGTTAACTGCGTTGAGCAACTTCGGCTGCATGCAACAAATTCTGGTAAATTCTCTTTTCATTTTTTACTCTATTACCAATATTTTCTAATTTTCCTTGTTATGGCTTCTTGGATACACCCATCATTTGAAACTGGTCATTTAATTTCCAAGTATCTTTAACATTAATTTCTCATTTTGATGCTAATTTTTCATTTAGATGCTTTCTTCTCTGCAATTACCGTCTATACTTTTTTTCAGTCTAACATTTCTGAGGCTTTTCGTGACTAAGTCAAAGATCTCTCTTGGTAAAGGTCACACTGCACTTGAAAATATGTGGGTTATCTCCAAATATTTTTGATACTGATTTCTACATAATTCCACAATGATAAGGGAACAGACTCTGTATGATTTCAATACCTCTAGACCATGAAATTTTTGCACCTTGTTTTATGTCCCTGAATATGTTCCACTGTCTCCAAGTTCACAGTCCATGGGAACTTGAATAGAATTTGTATGCTACTGTTGTGTGAAAACTGTATAAATCTTAATTATGTTGAATTGGTTCATAGTGCTTTTCAGGTCTACTATATCCTTCTCTTCTCTGTGTATCCATTCTATTAATTTTTGAGAGTTTGATATTGAAACTCCAAGTAAAAATCTTAATTTGTCTACTTAAAAAATAATTGTGATATATAGTGGAACTATGTGTAACCTTGTTTTGTATTTTCTACATCTCCTGTAAATGTGTTACCATGCTTTCATGATTTAAAAAAATTAAAATTTAAAAAAAAAACAAAAAAGGGAGATGGAATTATGCATAAAAATCTAAATAAATATTGTAACCTAATCTAGGACTAAAATTTTGACCTTGGAATTGCCTCTATTTTGTATTTGAGTTTATAGCATCATCAGGATAAAACCACCAAAAGGAAAAGCTTTCCTCTTGTAGGCTTTGAAGGTTTAAGGTATTTACTCATAAAGGATAGGTTTCTTGGGAGATTTGAACAACAAATTCTAACCCAAGGACCAAAATTAGTACAGCAGTTTTGTAAATAACCCTCCAAATTATAAAGCAGGTGAAGTCATGACGAGCTAAATTAATCACAAGAATGCAAACAGTTATAAATGTAATTGTCATGGTGTCTTGTTCCACACTCTAGCAATAACAACTTCTGCTCTGGGTGAAACATTCGGGGCGCTAAGATGAACCAGCCTAAGGCGAGAATGCCACATGGTGTTATTTTCGACCAAGTAAAACATGCTCACCAGTTTCTGATGTTTGGTTCTCAACCCCCACCCCTAATCTCTAAAATCTGTCATAGGTAAATTCTATAAATGAAAAAACCTTTGATCTGAAAAGCTTTTACCCTTTAGTTTCTTTTCTAAATCCTCATAATATGACCTTTCCCAATACTTCCTTTAAATGAAAAATAAAAGTCTTTGGCTAAATTCCCCACCACTCCCATGTTCTTTCTTAATGTCAAGGCACTGGAATATTCATCACGAGAGATCATTTTATTTAAATATTGCAAATAATATAAAAGGTATTACAATGAAAAAGTTTTGGCTTGCTACTTTAATGGTAGTGAATATGAATTCCATTCATGAAATAAAGATTCCTGTTTTTAACAGAAAATCATTTCACCAATGCTCCCAGGCAATTTCAAAAACTTGTATTAACATAAGACCATTGCCAACGGCCCCAGGATGAATAATGCATTCCTGCATTACGGTGCATAATCTATCATACTTTAAAGACTAACTTCTTACTATAAAATCTGGATCCAAACCGTACACTTAGAGAAGAATAACTTTTTCAAGTACTGCTCTGGAGTTCTTAAGGCAAATTAATGGAGTGAAGTACCTTAGATGAAATCTGCAATCTCACCAGGAAAGGGAGGAAGTCAAATTAGCCTTTTACCTTCATAGCATTCCAACTAAATCCAACTCCACTCAATGTAGCACTCAATCTTTTCTAGTTTAAATGTCTATACAAGTGATGACACATGGCAAACGGGTGTATTAAGGATGATTAACCAGGAATTAATTCCTAAGCTTTGCTCAAATGCTTTGAACACTATAATCTGTCTTCTTCCCTTCCTTGGCTAAGAAACACATATTCTGTTTTAGTCATTATGTACTAGAAGACTACTTAAACCTTAGGAATTTGGCCTTGAGAAATCAATCTAGTTTGCTAAGCATTTGACCATATTTTTCAGCGATGGCTGTTGAGACAATATCCTAGAGGCAGAAGTGACTCATAAAGTGTGTAAGTGTCATGAATAAGAGAGGCTTGCTTTAAACTGGAGAACAGAGGCGTTCAGACGGTGAGTTAGTAAGAAGGGCCAGGAAGGAAGGACAGAGTTCAGTGACTCACCTGTAACACTTTGCTCAGATTGTCGAACAGAGCTTGTCCAGCACTGACTTTATATTTAACGCCTCTGACTGTGCCATTCTTGCTTAAAATGTTGACTCTTCTTGTCCCAAACCCCTTCTCGCTGGCCGCCCTGGCCAACACCAGCAAGTTATCCTGGTCATTCTCCCGCTCGTCACCTTCCGGTCCTATGTGGCCGTTCCGCCGTCCATCAGACTCACGGAGCCCATCTATGCCACAGATACTGGCACATTCAGAATCCAGAGAGCCCGCTGGCCGGCCGTCTTCATACACCTCCCTCAGAACTCGCCCGCTGTGAGACGACGCGATCCGAAATCGGACTTTCCGGGGCCTGTCACTTTCTGGCTTCATCTCCCGCCTCAGCATGGTCCCATCCACCCACATAACAAACAGCTCACATAGTTCTGGGTCCCTTGCTCCTGCATTAGTCGACCTGCCACATAGCAATATCTGAGCCTAATTCTAGTGACGGCAGCATTTGCATGAAACTAACATCGCAGGGAAAGAAGTGTCCCAAGAACTTACAGTGCATCTCTGCTATTAATAATGAATGTGTCTGTGTGTGTGTGCGTGCTATGGTTACCTTTAAACTAAAACCTGCAAAGTGATCCCAGCCTTTAAATATTAAATAGCCACGGTGGACTCTTCAGCAAGACAAGTGCAAGAAAGTAGCAAGCCATGAAACAGAAAGTAAGTACGAGGCAAAGAAATGAAAGGCTTGAACTTTGAAGCCAGTGGTGAGTGTTGAGAAGGATCTTAGCCGCAGAAATACCTCTGAAATTCAGAGTGGAAACCAGAGATAAAATACGGAATCAAATGTGTAGGCTGGGAGGTGTCATAGGCTTCTCACAGTGCCTATTCCTTCTGTCTTTCACACTCTTAAAAAAGGGCAGTGAACATACTACATGCTTGCATAGGGCTATCAATATCAATTCTTATTAAATCATCAGTTAGACCACATTTATATAATGAATTTTCAATCTACACCTTCATCTCTGTGCACAAGTAGTTTTGCTGGTAGGCTGCAGTCCATGGGGTCGCGAAGAGTCAGACACGACTGAGCGACTTCACTTTTCACTTTCATGCACTGGAGAGGGAAATGGCAATCCACTCCAGTGTTCTTGCCTGGAGAATCCCAGGGATGGGGGAGCCTGGTTGGCTTCCATCTATGGGGTCGCACAGAGTCGGACACGACTGAAGCAACTTAGCAGTAGCAGCATTATCANTGCCTAGCTTTTGCCGAGGGCATGTGTGCAAAAGTGACAGGTATCTGTGGACCAAGGCAGTTGACAAGACGCTGTATGTCATTCTATTTCTCTTTCTTCCCCATCTGCTAGCTGGATGACATCAGCAATCGTGCCATATATGAGCTTATCTGTCTTAAGCTAAAATAAAAATCAACCTGTTCTTTTCAATGGATAATCTTTGTAATTCTTTCTTCATTCAGGCAATAAGTATCCCACAAGCATCTACTGCATACCCCCCAAGGGTAGCAGGAGACAATAGCAAATATAAAGATATATAAGCTTAAGACCCATACCTTCCATTGGCTACATAATACTTAGAAAAATTAGCTATAGCTCAACACAGCGTATTTTAAGATGTACAGAACCCTTCTTTTTAAAAATAACCTAATTTCTAGTCATCACCAATAAAACACACCAATGCTATTCTCAACAGTTTCCACTCTCATTGTGTTTAGAATTTGTTCCCAGCTGCTCAATATGAATATAGCACTTTCTAACTATCCCACTTGCCACCTTTTCCCACTATCAGTTTATTATTCCCTGCATTATAATCAGGGCTTCCCCATCATCTCAGTGGCAAAGAATCCACCTGCCAAGCAGGAGATGCAGGTCTGATCCCTGGGTTAGGAGGACCCTTTGAAGAATGAAATGGCAGCCCACTCCAGTATCCTTGCTTGGAAAATCCCATGGACAGAGGAACCTGGCAGGCTACAGTCTATGAAATCACAAAGAGTTGGACACAGCTTAGTGACGAAACAACAACATTATCTTTGCTTTGACACTTTGGCCTCCACCCTTGAGCAGGAGTTTCCTTCAGATGTACTCTTACAATCATTTATTCATTTAACAATATTTATTGAGCACCTACTAAATATCAAAGAATTGCTGGATCTATACAAGCATGATCCTTGCCTTTAGAGGTGAACAGATAACACTCAATAAACAAATAGAGGTATTTAGTAATAAAAATTGTAACAAGCATTACCAAGGGGGAAAGGTGGATGCAGTTAGAAAACATAAAAGAAGGGAGCCTACTTTAGAAGAATCACGGTAAGCCTCTCCTAATAGGAGGCATTAAACTAGGGCCTACCAAAATTAAGAGATTGATCATGAAAGACTTGAAGTGGGCAACAGTAGTTGAAGATACTTCCTCAGCTGAAATGGTAGTTGAAAAGGTACTGAGGCAGAAAACCGGAAGTTTGTTCAAAGAACTAAAAAAAGGCCAAATGGCCAAAGAATAACTCCCATCTACAAAGCTCTTCTCAAAAGAGGGCACGACTAACAAGACCTTTCTTTCCTAAGCTAAGCCTTGGTTTATGCAACCCCTCAAAACAAACATCCCATTCCCATGAAAAACCACATTACCAATACAGAAATATTTCAAGTTTGACACCACTGGGTATTTATTTATTTAAAATATAAAGTTAAAAATTCCAGATCAAATATTGTATTAACCAAGGTAGAACTACTTTGGAAATCAACATTAATGATGTATTCAAAGAGAAAAGTACCCCTTGTTCAATTCCTAGTAGAAACAGTACTCGAGCAGCTAGACCTAGGCCTGGATATTTCTTGCTGGCATTAGTTTTTTAATCAGGATATTTAATTACTTCCTTATTTGCAGAGAAATGTAACATAAAAATATAATTATATTTTTACTCATCTTGTCTCCAAATATTGCCCCATATACCATTCTGTATGATTATTACTGAATGGTGAAAATAATTTTAGAAATATTCCTAGCATTGGAGGATAAGTTTTTAATCCCTTGGATCACAGAAAATATGTGCAAAATGTCTCTGTTTGTTGCCATCTTATAGCTATCATACTCACTATTTTATTTTTTGGTCTTGCAGAAATGTTGCCAGTCATTGGCAAAGTAATGGTCTTCTCGCCAGCAACACATGTTCCTAGAGAAACAATAAATCATGACTTACTCCCAAAGTGCTGTTCTCAGAACTTCTGTTCGGATGGAAAGAACATATCAATTTTTATTATCTAACTACATTGGCAATTAGAGGGGGAAAAGATTTACTAACCATCAGTAAGGGCACTAGTGCTAAAGAACCCACCTGCCAATGGAGGAGACATAAGAGACTCAGGCTTGATCCCTAGATCAGGAAGATCCACCGGAGCAGGGAATGGCAACCCACTCCAGTATTCTTGCCTGGAGAATCCCATGGACAGAGGGCCTGGCAGGCTGCAGTACCTAGGGTTCCACAGAGTTGGACATGACTGAGTGACTTAGCATACACCCATGCACAACCTCAGTAAAACAGGGAGAACAAGCTACCCCTGAAATTTTCAGCTTACAGAATACTGAGATTTTCTTAACCAACATGAATTTGCAAATCAAAATTCACAGTTCAATATTCATTTGAAGTGCAGAGAATTTCTAAATCAAAAGAGAAATAGTGCATTAAAGAAAATATTTGTTGAAAACAGGACTACTAATACATAACAAGAAACAGGGATGATTTCTTAGTTTATACATTAGTGGTTAAGAGTGGGGGCTGTGGGTATACACAGCACTGGGTTTAAATCTTGGATATACCATCCCCTAAAATGACCTTGAACCTCAGTTTCTTCATTTGTCAAATAGTAGATTTTATTGCTCAGAATGTTTGGCAAGACTGACTAGAATGATGTACATACAAAGTGCTCAGAATGCTGTTCAACAGATGATAGCTATAAATTCTTATCATTTACTTAAAATAGCTAAACACACATACAGTCATCCCTAGGCATCTTGAGGAATTAGTTCCAGGACCCCCACAGATACTAAAATTTATGGATGCTCAAGCCCCTTGTTAAAATAGCACAGTATTTGCATATAATCTGCACACATCCTCCCTTATATCAATTCTTCAAATCATCTCTAGATTACTTATAATACCTAATACAATGTAAATGCTTTTTAAATATTTAAACTATTTAAATAGTTGCTAGTGTATGTCAATTTTAAGTTTGTTCTTTGGAACTTTCTGGAATTTTTTCAGATATTTCCACCTGCAGTTGTTTGAAACCAAACCATGAGTGTGGAACGTTATGGATACAGAGGGCTGACTATACTGTTTGGAGGATAGGCAGAAGAATGTGCAGTCATGTGAACGTAATTCACTGAAAAGGAATCAAAGCAATTTTTTTCTAGTCTGACTCTAGGTCTTCAAGGCTGAACCCGTCTGTCATCACTTAGATCTTGGGAGAAGGGCTCCAGTTTGCAGAATCTCATTCACTCTATACAACTCTGGACTGTTAACTACATATTAAGTGCTGTAACTGGGAGCAGGGGTTTTCAGGGCTGGCTTATACCTGTCACCATGGATCCAGAGAGGCATGGTTGGCTCAGAGTCTCAGGGCTGTTCAGCTGTAGACTCAACATGCACCCAGCACTTCTAGTATCTAATTACCTAAACTCTTTAAAATTAGCATTGCCACCAATGAAGGAGGACCAATAAAGAGTTCCCAGAGAAACAGCTTCCCAAAATAGACTTTTACAGCTCAATTCTCATTTTTAATTCCCCACTGTATTTTGTAGGATGTTTCACTTATAAATAGCAATAAATAAATGAAGCAAATAAATAAATGTTTGCTGAATTAAGACTAACTAAATTAAGTTCTAATGTCAGAACAAACTGACCTCCCATTTAGGAGACACATAAATAATAGCTAACATGAGTACTTCCACCTCTTTCTTTCCTGCTCCCAGGCTACATACAAGGTGGGAATTAATATCTATTTACTTTCCAGGCAAAAGTCAAAGTTATGGTTTTTTCTATAGTCATGTATGGATGTGAAAGTTGCACCATAGAGAGACTTCGTGCTGAAGAACTGATGCTTTCAAACTGTTGTGCCGGAGAAGACTCTTGAGAGCCCCTCAGACTGCAAGGAGATCCAACCAATCAATCATTAAGGAAAACAACCCTGAATATTCATTGGAAGGACTGATGCTGAAGTTGAAGCTCCAATACTTTGACCACCTAATGTGAAGAGCTGATTCACTGGAAATCTCTCCCTGATTCTGGGAAATAGTGAAAGAAGGAGGAGAAGGATGAGATGGTTGGATGGCATCACCACCGACTCAATGGACATGAGTTTGAGCAAATTCCAAGAGACAGT